CAGGTACACATGTACCGATATATACAGGTGATTTCATGTATTAACACCTACCTAAATAACAAAAGTTTTTCCAATTTAAATATTTTAACATCAATAATGATTATTAAAGGGTAATATATTTCAATTTAAATTAAATTATCAATTTAAAAATTTACCTCCATATTATAAAGAATTTTAAACTTACACTTCCAATTGGAGAATATTAAAGGAGAAAATGAGATAAAACATTAATAACAGGACTGTAAGTCCTCCTTTTATAATATTCTATATATCCATAAATATACACACATGTACACATATCCGTACATATACACACACACATATACATACATATCCAAATATATACATATATCCATATATACACATACACACACATATACATATATACGTATATATGTATATACTCATACATACACACATACATATGTAGATATACACACACACATACATACATACATACATATATACATATACACACACATATACCCACATATATACACACATATATGTATACACATACACATGCATATATATACACATATATATACACATATATACATATACATATACACATACATATACACATACATATACAAATATATGCACATATACATATACATATACACATATACACACATATACACATACACACATATACACAAATATATACATATATACACCCACATGTGCGTGCATGCAAAAAAACATATCAAAATCCATACTTAATTACATTATTATATTCTCCCATATTATATATGAACTCACAAATTCTTATATTTATACATACATACATACATACATACACAGATTACTCTCCATCCCATAGCTATGGAACGACATACATGTACCCATCTATATATACACACCCACACTCACACATACACATATAGAAATTAATAAAAATTTGTATACACACACATCCACACATATACATGTACCCACATACCCACACACATACATATATACACCCATATATACATATAACTGCATATATTTTTACAAAAAAAAACAGATCACCTATATACATACAAGTATATATACATACATATCCATATCCATACCCACCCACTCCAAATATGTGCCCACAATACACAAAAAATAACACATGCATGCCTATCTTTCCATATAAACGCATATACATATACATATCAAAAGACGTATCAATGTTCAAGTTCAATTACATAGTTATATACATACAGTTATGTGTTCACATTCATGTGTGCATAGCAACATTTTCAAAAGCAAAAAAACAAAGATCATGTAATATTAGTCTTCTTATATAGTTATTCCTAAATATATTTAGTTAGATTTAGGTTGTTCTTATGTCGGCATTTAAAAATTAGTTCATTATGTCTGTTTAGTAATAAATCCTGATCTTTATGTTTTATCATGAAGTTTTTTTTCTTTTATGCATAAGTCGCACCTGTCCCTGAAATTTATTTGAGTTCTGGCTCTCGAGATTATTTACCACTTTATTTGTTGGGTTAAGCCACCATCCAACAAATCCCAATAATGCTTTGACAGTGCCGTTTGTTATTTTTACAATTATCTTTGAAGAACTGGCGATGGTTATAAAGTCGATGTTTCCAACTTCCCGCCGATATTCCTATGTATATCCTTTTCTGCTCAATATTCTCTTTGATGAAAATTGTTGCCTCATATATTACATTTTCTGCCATGCATACTCCTTCAACTGGGCAATCGGATCCTGTCCTGCAATTACATGTTGATGCTTTCATTTGGGTTGCATTACGATCCATTTGTATTTGATTGTCATGAAAATCTCTCAAAATTTCACTATTATGTGACCTAATAATTTTTTCAATATTGTTCATGCAAGAATAGCTAATCTTTAAATTCATTTTGTTGAATATCTTTTTTAAAAGATCATTTTTACTAAAGTGTTTTTCTATTAGTTTTATGAAGTATTTTCCTATATTAATATTAGAAAGGTTACAAAAAGGTGGGTTGAACCATATAATTTTCCTCTTCCTATTTTTGGATTTAGTAGATGTTTTATTAACTGACTTATCCATATAATTTAGTGTCTGTTTAAATCTACTTTTAATAGGGCTTTATCATAATTCGGTTTTATTTTATATATATATATATATATATATATATATATATATATATATATATATATATATATATATATATATATATATATATATATAACCTAAGTGGAACGATCCTCTGAGAACTCGAAGACCTCCTTCTTCTGTGTGTTAGGTCGTTGATGATAATGGCTCTCCACAATTTGTAGCTCTGAATACATTTTCGTGCAATTACCGAAGTTAAGCAACATCGAGCCTGGTCAGTACCTAGATGGGTGACAGCTCGTGAATGCCAGGTGCTGTAAGATTGGATGATGGCTAGTAATTGCCGAGTTCCAATTCCCGTTGGGTTCTTTATATTCATTTACGTGCAAATACCTTTGACAAAGGTATGAATCCACATCTTGGGTTAATTAGTAAAACGCTTACCACTAAAACCATTATTATATGAAAATAAATTAAAATAAAATTGCGTATAAAATATTTATATATCGACTTTAAAAATCCATAAAGATTGATATGCCGGTAAAAAAAAAAACATATAACTAAACTTAATAAATGCTGTCTGTTTGTTGTTTCACTTCATCACTCAAATCGTTACATCCACCGCTTTCATCATGGTCGATGAATTGTCTTGAATCAGAATCATATTCAGTGCCAGAAAAAGAAAGTTACAAAGCATTTTTTGCGAAATATCTTGTCAGCTACTCCAGGTTAATCAAAGATTATCTTGCCTTTGTTATTATGTATTAAAAGTACGATTATATATTTTGACAGTGAAAAAGAAGAAAAATAAATTACTTGAGATGTCTCGTCAGCCGTTACAGATTAATAATTGCTTTCTTTAATTTAATCGCTATCGTTATATGACCTTGAATCACTATACGATACTCTTCTAGAATAAGAACACCCCCCCAAAAAAAAGAAAATTATTTTAGATATTTGTAAATCTACCATTCGCTTATGCCCTGAATATTGCTGCCACATATGATTTTGTGCTATTGCTATATATTTACAGATTCTTGATAAAAATTTAAAAAAGAATCTGCAATATTATTAGCCCTGACCTGATATCTCGTCTTCAGTAACTTTCCCACCGCCGTAACGAAGCTTCCCCGTGGTTTTTCTATAAATACTTTCATGGTAATTGTTCTGATTAACTTTATGCTATGTTACCTAGACATTATGAATTTAAGCGCAGTACTAGATGGCGGCAAGGTATCATCCTCTTACAGTTGAAATGTCAAGATGTAACAGTAAGTTTTATGCTAACGGTTTCTTCTATCGCACTTCTCGCTTGTGGAACTCTCTTCCTTGCTTCCCAGTCAACTTTGATCTTCAAAAATTGAAATGCAATTTCAATCATTATCTTCTGGCTTATTAATTCTTGTTATTTTAATCTTCTCTCTCCTTAATAGTATTTTTCTCATATTCTCTAATACTCAATAACGCCTTGCGTCTTAGTGGCTTTATAGACTTGCTTGGGTTGAAATGATAAAATAAAGATATTTTCTCACCCGTTTCCAAATGGCTAAAATAGTCATTGTCCTATAATAATGTTTTGTCTATGTATGAATGGTTTCATAATTTTTTACTAAGGTATCACAAGGTCATAGTGGTGCAGCTGCCTGCTTGGAGCAACCGCACTTCTTCTTCTTCTTCTTCTTCTTCTTCTTCTTCTATGTAACGCGACTCTTCAGGACATAAATGATCATAGCATTCCAAAACTTTCTTGCTTGGCTGTTTTTCTCACTTTGCTAAGGTTAATTTTGACATCCATTCACTCGTCAGGTAAATATTTGGCTGCCTTCCCCAGTCTCCCTTGCCATCAATATGAGGATTAAATTTACCAAGCCCTCCTTCTACATAATATGTTCAAAGAATTTTCCTGATTCTAAGTGTTATATCTGTTGCTATTTTCTTTAAGACTTCCTTGTTGCTTACTTCCTCCCTACATGCAATTTTCAGCATCCCTCTGTAGAATCACATTTCTACTGACTCTAGCTTTTTTCCTTATGCATTAGCAGATTATCCAGCATTTACTGCCATATAAGATTATGGATTCTTTTCTTTGTTTCTAACGATTTTTTGTTCATTTCTCAGCATCTTGCTTAGCTTTTGGAATGCATCTTTCATTAGTCCAACGCGACTTCGAATCTTAGTATCACATTTTCCATCCTCTGTTAAAACACTTCCCAGATGTTTGAACTTACGCACCTGCTTGATGTTTATATCTCCAATTCATAACTCGTGACTTGGGCTTTTTCTCTTGATAATGACCATACATTCTGTCTTCTTGCACTTGACAGACATTTTTTTCTTCTACGCTAGTTTCGTTAAATCGTTAAACTGTAGGCAAAAAGTGTTTGAATGAATCATAAAAACATCTCAGAAAAGAAGGAACATACTGCTCTTTATTTTGTATTACAATTAACTTGTGAAAGAAAATCTTAGCTGAAAACAGGCAGTGTGGTGTCTGATCATTATGTAGACGGGGGACTTCATGGGAATACCGAGAACTGAAAGCACAATCCCACAATACGAAATATTTTTCGGTTTCAAATAACTCATAAACGGTTGATAAGACCTAATATAGAAAATGAATCAATCAGTACTGCTCACGGTTTTGTATAACACCAAGTCATCAACAAAATAATATACGGCTCTTTATTTTGTATACCACCAACTCATCAAATAGCCAATATAATGCCCTTTATTTTATATACCACGAACTCACAAATAACCAATATACAGTAATTTATTTTATAAACCACCAACTCTTCAAATAACTAATATAGAGCTTTTTATTTTGTATAACACCAACTCATCAAATAAGCAATATACTGCTCTTTATTTTGTATAGCATCGACTAATCAAATAGCCAATATACTGTTCTTTATTTTATATGCCGCTAACTCATCAAATAACCAATATACACCCAAGCTTACATCACCTGGTATTCATAAGCGGCCATCCATCTAGGTACTGACCGAGCTCGACGTTGCTTAACTTCGGTGATTGTACGGAAACCTGTGTTTCAACGTGATGTAGCCGTAAGCAAATGGCTAGTGAATCCCACTTTGTTCCGAGGGTAAACTGAACTGATTTTACACTGATCCTAGGCAAAGCCCCAGGGATCGATAATTTGATCTACGGATAAAATGCACAGATACTATACTAATCCTAGGCAAAGTGCCATGGAACCACCTTTTGATCCTAGGACAAATTGAACTGATTTTACACTGATCCTAGGCAAAGCGTAAGGGATCGATAATTTGATCTACAGATAAAATGCACAAATACTGTACTAATCCTAGGTAAAGGGCCAGGGAATCACACTTTGATCCTAGGACAAAGTGCACAGATTTTACACTGATTCTAGATAAAACACCAGGGTTCAATAATTTGATCTACGGACAAAATGCACTTATCCTAGGTAAAGGTATATAGAATAACACTTTGATCCTGGAATAAATATTTTGAAGGTCAAATGTGACTAGAAAGCAAGAAGCTGGAAGAGAGGTCCACAAGCAAGAAGTGCGAAAGAAGACTGTTAGCATAGAACTCACGGTTACATCTCGCCATTCCAACTATAAAATGATAAGATCTCGCCGCTAGTATTGCGCATAAATTCCTAAAGTCTAGGTATCAAAGAGGAAAATTCATCAGGACAATTACCACGAAAAGATTTATAGAAAAAGATACGTTACGGCGGTGGGAAAGTGATAGAAGCCGAAATGCCAGGTCAGGAAAATCAGGAAAATGTCGACAGAACATTCATAACAGGCGAGCAACACTCCTCTCCTTATTATACTAAATGCCAAAATCCATTAAAAAATTGATTAAATTTACCGATGCGTGCAAAGAGGGAAAATTGGTTCGAGTTACAACCAGTACAACTTATGCTCCAAACACATGGGTTCGTATTTGAACCTATAAACGCATTCATATACAAATAATGATAAATACATATATACTCATATAATTACGCAATAACTATGTATGTGCGTGTATGTGTATGTGTGATTGTGTGTGTAAGTGTGTGCGTGGATGGTGTATCTATTCAATGCTTCTTGATACTTATATACGTCTGTGTGTGCGTATATCTGAATTGATGACTACAGAAATTGCCCAGATGAGTGAATAAAATAGCAATTATATAATTATCTATGATACAGCAAATGAGACTAAATAATAAACAAGCAAAATCAAGCCGATGGCTGCCTCCACGTGGTGCAATGGTTAACAAGTTTGTCTCATAGATCATAAGTAGTGAGTTCGGTCCTCACTAGTCGTCACATAATTGTTATGTTTATTATCTACTGGGTATAAGGAAAAAAATCCGAAATTTTACATTATTTGTAGTAACCTGTGTCAAATCGAATATAAAATTTTGAAATAACAGGTCAAAGTCACTTCCCTTTTTCGTATCAGGTAATACTCGCTGCTGAATGGTAAAAATGTTCGCATTCCGACGATTTGACCTTGCGTTCGAGCTTCATCGGGGTCAAGTCTTCGGGGATATGACTTTTTCATCTCTGTCTAGCGAGGCAATCCCAGTATGCGGAAGAGTTAGGAATTGTTTGAAAACCATGCCACGGGTCGAGCCAAGTCTCACAATTTAAATTGGGTAAGCAGAACTCTTAGGAAGCTATCGATGGTTGTGCTAGTGAGTAAACCACAAGCCGTTATACAATGGGTATATAGGAACTCATTTAGCCTTTGCAGGTAACACATCCAGTGTAAAACTGTTCAGAAGCTGTCGATGGTTGTGTTAGTATGTAAACCATAGGCCCTGACATAATGGACATAGAGGAACTCAATTAGCCCTGTAAGGCAACCCGTCTAGTGTAAAACTGTCCATAAGCCATGGATGATTGTGCTGGTAAGTAAACCACAAGCCCTTACACAATGTGAATATAGGAACTCTTTAACCTTGGAAGGCAACACATCTAATAAAAAACGTTATGAAGCTTTCGATGGTTGTGCTAGTACGTAAAACAGAAGCCCTTACACAATGTGAATATAGGAACTCTTTAATCTTGGAAGACAACACATCTATTATAAAACTGTTAGGAAGCCTTCGACGCTTATGCTAGTACATAAACTACAAGCCCTTACACAATGTGAATATAGGAACTCTTTTAGCTTGGCAGGCAACCCATTTGTTATAAATCTGTTAGGAAGCCATCGGTGGTTGTGCTAGTACGTAAACCACAAGCCCTTACACAATGTGAATATAGGAACTCTTTAATCATGGGAGGCATGCCATATATTATAAAACTGCTTGGAAGCCTTCGATGGTTGTGCTAGTACGTAAACCAGAACTCAACTGGTCACGGGTAGTATAGTTTAAATGCAGCTTATATCGTCGGGTCCACCTATTATATGTATCAGTCATTATACCTTTTTTCATGTAAGTTTTAGCACTTTTTGTGTATAAAGACCTTTATGTTAGTGATATTACCTATTTCAACATTTATTTGTTGGAATGCAGCGTCAAGTTCATTCTGTAGGTACGTATCTGTTCTACAGATCTTCAGGGTCACAATATAAAGGAAGCAATTATGAATATATCGACCTCTTGGTTCTACGATGTGAACACGTGCAAACGGCCAGTTCTCTGTTAATTCTCTATAGCTATTTTGCACAAGATCAAAACGTTTTGAAAATTAATAGTGAAATATAATAAGATCTACTTTGCAAAATACGATTAATATTCAATACTAGACCACCCGTGACCCGTTTGGTCAAACTTGTATAATACTAAAAATATGTGATTGCGTGTGTAATTGCGTGCTTGTGTGGTGTGTCCATCTGGCACATAATGATTTACGAGTTGTTCGTTCAGTAAGTATTTTTATTATAACTTTCTTCAAACAGACAATTTTATTAATTAAAATGTTTTAAGTTAAAAACAAACACAAAGAGATCCTGCTTGCCGTTTTGTCCAGTTGTTTGTAATTATTTATATTTCAGGTTTCTTTAAATAGACAATATTTTAAATATTTAAAAATATTTTTGGCATATTAAAAAAGATATTTTTAAATTAATCCGATTTAATGTTCAAATTTATCCCGGAAGTTCTATTCCGACTAAATGCTGTAAACAATCAGTAAAACATGAACTTGTAAACCAGATCAATGATGACATGATCAAAATGAAATATTTAATTGAATCATAATAAAATTAATTTTCATTGAAATAGAATGTTAAAATCAACTTCAATGTTTTATAACCTGAACCGTAGGTGACCCAAACGGATCACGGGTAATTTAGTTTCTACCATAAAATCGATATTGGCTTCAACCACGGCCCCCGGACGACTTCGGAATCTCCTGCTACTCTTCTGGACGGTGACCTTAAGTTGGTGAATGCTGACATAATCCTTACCTTCAGATCATCTTTGGTGTTCCAAGGAGTTTTGTTGGTCTCTCATAATAACATAATAATCAAGAGTGCTGCAGTCTGTGAAGTTATGTAGCCAGATGTAAGGGGTGATGTGCTCGCAAAAATTGTCTAACAGTCAAAACTGTTTTCTCCTGCTTGTGTGTGGCATGGTGCAGAGTCCTGCTACCAGACATAGCGTCTTCCATCAGCCACCCTCTTAACTCTTTATCCGTATAAACTATCATTTAACGTAACCCTCTACACCGAATGGCACCGGGTCTTGTACAGGGTGAACCTTACTGTAAACAAAGAAGGATACTCGGCTTGTCGAAAATCTAAATGTATAAGATAAAGTTTATTTGAATGAAAGAACGGTGTATAAATATATGGCTAATTATTTAATTTATTATGATACAGGAAATCAATTATTTTACAAAAGTCGTAATATATATATATAAAATGTAACTCATCGAGTCTAGAAGAAACCTCAACAGAATGCACTGGACGACCGTTTCGTCCTATATTTGGGACTCATCAGTAGTGCGCATCCACTACTGAGAATTGACAGGCAAACGTCATGCCAACTGTACTAACGGGCCACGGTTACGAAGAGGTAGCGAACTAGATTCGATATTGCGCCGCTCGTTCACATATTCCGTGGTAGAACTCATCCTTTACCCACAGGACTGTGCCTCCGAGAGCCACGACTACCATCACCAAGCCGCTCCATCCAGAGTATTAGAAGCGGGTTCAAACAAGGATATACAAATGATAGAAATTAAGGAGGATTTGAGATAATTAAGTAATTCATCGAGTCTAGAAGAAACCTCAATAGAATGCAGAAAGCGCTGGACGGCCGTTTCGTCCTATATTTGGGACTCATCAGCAGTGCGAATCCACTACCGAGAATTGAAACCTGGACAGCTACATTGACATATATATGCTTCTCTGGGAGGGCGTCTTTGAATATGCCCCAACCGATAAGGAGTGACTGATATGTACAGTGACGAGTAAAAAAAATGAGCCACCTTATCCAAAATCAAATTGTTTAATTTTTACTAAGAAACAGTAAATATTCAACATTTTATCTTCAGGAATAGCATCTGTGGTGACTCAAGACCGTAATGCAAGTTGGATCCAGAGCGAAGAGACATACAGATCTGAACACATCGCAGTACTGAAAATAAAACACGAAAAATATATGAACCACTTGACACGCCTCAAGACTTACATCATCATAGATTAAGAGAGGCGAGCGAATGATCAAACAGATTGCTTAAAGTCTGAGAGTGTTCAGCTTATCCTTTTAGTGTGGGTGATTTACGTTTCAAAAGGAGGAAGAGTGAGTGTGGAGAAGAGAATGAAAATTATCGCAATGTCACAAAGAATGACTCAACGTGAAATCATTAAGAAACTTGGAATATCAAGGCATACATTTTTTTAATCATTTCACCCGCAAGCATAGCAAAAAAAACCCACTAAAATGCATGTTAAATAATGAAAAACATTATTATTAAGACGAGAGGGCAATAAAAGAGCAGGTATCAAGAAGAGAGATGACGATTGACATTGCGTTTAAATTTCTAAAGAGCAATGTTGACTGGAAAGCAAGAAGCCTGAAGAGAGTTCCACAAGCGCGAATTGCGAGAGAAGAAACTGTTTGAAAA